ATCCATTTCTGAAATTTCATGCATTTTACACTTATTGCCGTTTTCATCCACTCAATATCTCTATCTTGTAGAAAGTGCAGTAGTGGTAGGTTCCGAAGTAGCCGGGCAAGTTACCGCACTACGGGATTTACTCGCAGATAAGTCGGCTTTAAGCAGAATCCTTCTTCCCTTCCCTTCCTTCCTTCCTTCTCTTGTCCTGGAGGTCTGTGATACTACGTACTAGGTTCGGCCTGATTGGTATATAATTTGGATGCTGTAATACGTATCAGTGGATTTGGATTCGAATGAGGCAGGCTAAGGTTGATCAATATCATAGGATTTTTTGTATGGTGATTTGATAATACATCTTACGAATCGCGGGCTGTCTAGTAGACACATTGCTTGACAGATTTATCAATGAATTGATTGGTTGATTGGTTGGTTGATTGATTGATCCCTGACCAGATCATCTATATTGCGCTTTACCGCACAGGAAAGTAAACGGGATCAAAGTCCAGCAAGTGTAATTGTAGATGTACATGTATAGAACACCCCGGGGAGTGGTTTAAGGAACGCGACATAATATAACGTTAGCTAGTATAAGATAGAAGAATAGTTACACATGATGGTTTATTCAGATAACGAAGAGAAGGAATACCCACACCGTACAACGGAGCTGTCGGGTTTCTCGTGATATCGTTCGTTACCGCAGACTGGCTGACTGGTAGGTCATTTCAAGTCGTTGGTAGAGGTACAGAGGGGAAGGAGGGATGAGAAAATGTTTAGAGGAACTTCTTGGGCATGTTCGCACGGCGACGCTTGTAGATGATGTAAGCCACGGCAAGAAGACCCTGGAAGGCGATGATCATGCAGATGAAGAAACCCATGCGGGGAGCGGAGGAGGTGATGACTGTAAGCGAAGGGGTTAGTTGCTATTCATATGGTTTGGAAAAAGGAAAGGGGGAGTGCTCACCTCCCAAGAGGTTCTCGGTCAAGCTGAGGTGAGACGAGCGCAGGGTCTCCTGAAGCTGGTTGAAGCGGCCATGGTAGTCCTTGCCCTCCAGGTCACGCTGGATGGTCTGCAGCATCTGTTCCATTTTCTGGAGTCTGGCGTCGAGGCTGGCGATCTGGTCCTTGCTGGCGAGCTTCTGGAGGAGCTCGACTTGGCGGTTGGCGGCCTTGGTGTCTTGGCTTCCGAGTTCACGAAGGATGTTGTCGGTGGCTTGGTTGATGCCCTGAACGCGGTTGCTCAGGTCGGCAAACTGCTGCTCGAAGCCAGTGTTGACAGGGGGTGCCTGCTGCTGTTGTTGAGGAACGGCCTGTTGCTGAGCGGCAATGGGCTGCTGGTTGGTGTTCTGCTGCTGGATGGGCACAGTGCTGCCTGCTCCAGACTCGGCGGATTGGACAACGAACTTGAAGACTTCGAAGGAGTCAGGGTTCTCGGGGGTTGCAGCGGTAAGACCAAAGACGTTGCCGGTAGGGAGAGCGACCTGCTTGGGTTAGGAGGTTGATGCTAATGGAGATGTGACTTGCATGGACGCACCTTGTCGGTGGAAAAGCACAGCTTGTCGTCGACAGTAACCTCGAAGACAGACTTGGTGTGCTTCAAGCGAACGGTAGAGGGCCGTCCAAGGTTGCGGTAAGGGTAGTCGCAGTGACCAAAGGCCAAGCTATCAACGCTTCTGTGGCTCTTGTAGTCTGTAGTGCCATCGTTGAGGAACCCGCGCACACTGCCACCCTGGTAAATAGTTAGCTTTGGCCATCAGACTGTAGCTTCTGGCTTACCCTTCCGCCATGGCTGTCAATGACCAGAGCAAAACCGTCGAATTGGTTGACGGTATAGATGCTGGAAGTGCCAATTCTGTCTTTGCCGTCCTTGGCATACCAGAGCTGGAGGTTACCTCCACCCCTTTCGGGACCAGTCGCTCGGAATTGGAACTCTGCAGTCCATTCCGGTTGCGATACACTATATAATTGAGTCAATATCAATCAACAAAGGGCGGACGCTGACAGGACTTACGGAGTCTGGGACCAAGCAAATCCCCTTGTGTTGCCAGGGTAAGGCGGTGTCAGGATAATTTTGTTAGAAAGCTACGGAGCAATTAGTACACAATGGCTTCAAGCTTCATCATGGGAATGATCAGCATACGATGTCGGGATTGTGCGATTCTCCTCCAGTCTGCCACCCAGAAATGGCACCGCCATCTGTTGATAACCTGGGAGGCAGGCATTAGTAAATCGGGAATTGACTCAGCTGAGACTGGTTGCAGCAGTGACACTTACGTCTGGCCGAAGCCAAAGCTGGAGCTTTCAATCACCGATTGAGCTGCGGCAGTAGCAGCCAAAGAAAGGAGAGAAGCAGGGATCTTCATGATGTCTATGCAATCGGAGGCTCGTCACGCAAACAAGTTATGCAGGTACTAAGTTTCAAACAACAATGAGGAGAAAGGCTGTGTATGTAACCAAAGCACAGCAGAAGCAGTCAATGGGTAAGAAATAGAGAGGGATTGACAGTGGGAGAGCCAGATAAGAAGAAGCAAGGTGAAGCTCCAAGTAAGCTTGGGTGTATCTTGTTACTGGTCCGACGACGATCTCCGGTTCAACAAGGCGGAGACAACGCGCGAGGTGGTCCACCCAACCACAATGGCGATCACGCAGAAACGGATTTCCCTGGCAATAGAGGTAGTTGCGGGGGAGAAGTCGACCAGATGACGAATTTCCAAGCTAGAGAGAACGACCGAGTGACGGACTCCTACGTCCGAAGCCAAGTCCATTGCCGCAGCAAATCGTAACCAGAAGATCTGCCGGGAAATGCAGGGGACAGATTGGCCTTTCTGCTCCCCGTCCCCTGTCGCGGTCACGTGTTCCCCGCCCCGGATGGGTTCCATGGGCCTATTCTTGTCATTACTATCCCTCTCCCTCCCCAGAATTGGCACAACTTCCTCTCGCCTTTCCATGCCCCACGCTCCTTCCCTTTCCCTTCTCCCGGCGGCGCGTCAAGCGCAAGACTACCAATGACCGATCTATACCCTTCTTTGGCGCAGTGCGCCATCGTTGCAACTGCTTTCAAAATCCTTTTGTTCCCCGCATAGTATGTTGGTCCGCAAATGGTCTAGAACAGCACCGCGAGGTTGCAGAACTCACAGCTGAATTGTGGCTGGAACGTGCAGCAAATCCACCGACTTTGAGGTTCATCGAAACTGGCTTGCGATTACACACTCGTTGCCCGTCAAGGAATGGTACTACGAGGTACGTACCCGCCAGCGCATACCGCTTCAAGGGTGATTCATACTAAATTGCGGATTTACATTAGAAAACGTCGGAATGGACCCTCGACTACCCTCCCTTTTTCGCGGCATTCGAATGGGTGCTCTCCCAGGCGGCACGTTATGCAGACCCGGCGATGTTGATTGTCAACAACCTCAATCATGATTCATGGCAAACAATCTACTTCCAGAGGGCCACGGTTATCGTCACGGAGCTGGTTCTGCTCTTCGCTTTGAGCAGGTAATTCGTCCATATTGTATTCTTCCTCGTTCAACTTGCTGATTCAGGAACGATCAGATTTGTCAAGTCGGTATCGCAAGAAAACAAACACCTTGCGCACATCGCCAGCTTGTCCATCTTCTTGTCCCCCGGTCTGCTTATCATCGACCACATTCACTTTCAGTATAACGGATTTCTTTACGGCATCTTGATATTGTCAATCGTTCTGGCGCGGAAGCAGTCGACTCTTCTCTACAGTGGGATTAGCTTTGCCGTTTTGCTATGTCTGAAGCACATCTATCTATACCTCGCCTTGGCATACTTCGTCTACTTGCTGAGGGTCTACTGTCTGGACCCGAAGTCGATTTTCCGCCCTCGTTTCTTCAACATCATCAAGCTCGGCGTGTGCGTGGTTGGCGTGTTTGCCTTGGCTTTCGGACCGTTCGCCTCCTGGGGTCAACTGCTTCAATTGAAGGACAGGCTCTTCCCCTTCTCTAGAGGGTTGTGCCATGCGTACTGGGCACCTAATGTTTGGGCGATGTACTCTTTTACTGATCGCATCTTGATCCAGCGTAAGTTCAATTAACCCAACTCCATGCTTTCGTTCAGAGGAACTTACTAGTGCAGTTGCTCCGCGGTTGGGTCTTCCAGTCAATCAGGACGCTCTGGTCAGTGTCACCCGTGGTCTGGTCGGAGACACCTCTTTCGCCGTTCTTCCTGAAGTCACCAAGGAGCACACGTTTATCTTGACCTTCTTGTTCCAGTTGGTGAGTTTTTAGATCTGGTTTGATTCCGTGCAACACCGCTAACGGTCACTAGCTTCCGTTGATCAAGCTCTGGTGCAACCCTGAATGGGAGACTTTTGTCGGTGCCATCACCCTGTGCGGATATGCATCATTCCTGTTCGGCTGGCACGTCCATGAGAAAGCGGTGCTCCTGATCATCATCCCGTTCAGCCTCATCGCGCTCAAAGACCGGCGCTACTTTAGCGCGTTCCGCCCCCTGGCTGTCGCCGGACACGTCTCTTTGTTCCCCTTACTCTTTACCGCCGCCGAATTCCCGATCAAAACGGTCTACACAGTCTTGTGGCTCGTGCTGTTCCTCTACGTATTCGATCAGGTGGCACCTGTCTCCGAGCGGCGCCGGATCTTCGTCGCCGATCGCTTCTCCCTGCTGTACCTGACCATTGCCATCCCACTGATCATCTACTGCTCCATCCTGCACCAGGTCATTTTCGGACTGGAGCGGTTGCAGTTCCTGCCCCTGATGTTCATGAGCAGTTACTCTGCCGTTGGAGTCGTGGGCAGTTGGATTGGATTTATGGTAGTTTACTTTACAGCATGAGAGAGAGCAAACTGTATAGATATAGATACCAAAAAGTGCTGAAAATTCAATACCATACTAAATAATATTCACACAAAGCTGGATAAAGAACCATGATGTAATCCACCGCCCGCGCCACAACCAGCCGCACCACATACACACACACGTACACACCGCCCTAAATCATCAGACGCGGTGCGCGCCAGTTTGCTCAGTTTGGCTCATCCACGTGCAACCCATCGCCCGAACACGGACCCACTTGATCAGCCAGTTTTGCAAAGTTTATCATCAGCCATCAGTCCCAATGCAGTTTAGCGCGCATCGGGATCGTTCCCATGGATTGTCACACTGCAGATGAGACTTCCGTTGCTTTCTTCTTCTTCTTTGACCACTTTCATGCTTTGTTTCATGCACAATGTGAATGGGTTGTATATTGGGTGCTATTTGGGGATATAATCAAATTGACAGATTTCTTTCAAGGGTGGAGAGGTTGGATGGATGCCTTGCGTTTTGTGGGGAATGTGGTTTGTTTTGGGTACTTACTGGTATATATTTGGGTGGGTGATAGGTCAGATGGGGGTTACTATGGGGGTGAGAGTAGTACGAACTTAACACATAGTAGTAGGAAAGAGTTTGGGCAGATGATGTTTCACCTACTATGGGTTTGTTTAGGTGGCTTTAGGTTTATGTCTTACAAGTAGGCCGTGTTTCTAGAATATGGTGGGCGTTTTAGTTGATGTTGTTCTTAACGACGGGGCAGAGATTGCATAACTCTATTTTCGGGTTCTTGGACAACTGCCATTGTATGAACGATGATTTCCGAATATATTGAAAGAACTTAATAATATATTGAAAGCTTTTTATGGTAGTGGACAAGCTTCTCCATACAAGTAATAAAGGAAAGTACCGTTTTTGTTGTGGTGGATTGTTGTATGCGGTAGGTGGTGCTTATGTACCGTATAGTTAGCCAACACTGTAGCCTGATCGCGATAACCGTACTGAAGAACATGGCAGATTGGTCTCTATTTTATCTATGATGCGAGGATAAGAGGGGGACCATAGAAAGAGAATTAATTCGTTAGTAGAAATGATGATGGTTTGTAGATAAGATGGCTATAGTATGATGGTAGTCTTTCAACGTATGACCTAGCGGAGAGCAAAGATTTACGCGACAGATACTAAATCTGGCTTGTTCTAGATCTGGCTGTCTTAATATTTGTTGTATACAGTATTATCAAGTTGGTGGAGCTTCTGCTAATCGTTAGGTATACTGCTAAGAAGCCCGGGCTACTTTTGCTCACTATGGAGTCCAAGTCTGTGTAAATCCATTGCTACCGAGTTTAGAAGAAGATTGTCTGTATCAGATACATGAGAAGCAGGCTCTAATCTTTAGTAGATATCGATTATTAGTTGATAAGCTGGTACCATGCATACATGATAAGTTGCTCAAGCATGTAAAGTGATACAATAGCCAAATATAATCCGGTAGCAGCATAGATTCCCTAGCCCGGGGGATGCAGATAGAGGAAATACAAATGCATACCTGCTCCTAGTGAGTCAGAACGAGGTGGGTGCGAGAATGGGCAAGCTCCGAGCATTGAACGGATACCAGGTCAAGTACCCGGGTGAAACTACACGAGGACTGTCAAGTCAAACTATGACACAAACAGAACAAACAGCTTGCTACGACAATAATACTAGCACTGAACCACCACTAATTCAAAGTATATGATTGTAGTAAGTCAGAAAGGTATGTAAATCTGGATGTGGCTGCAAAACTACCGAGTTGTTGACCTCGAGTCGCAAGGTCAGTGAGATCGTCCCCGCAGACGGGTCAGGCCGTGATCAGATAGAGCCAGGTAAGAGGAACAAAATGGGTGCAGGCAATACCAAATTTATCTCAAAATAATCTCCGGGAAATGACGAGTCGAATGAGTGCAAAAACATGGGGGTAATGGGGGGAAGAGAGGGACGAGCAGAAAGGAAACGGACACTGGGGGGCAAAGACGGGGAGTGGGAGAGGGTTAAGGGAAGGAGAAGCAGCCTGAAGCGGTATAGCGGCAGCGAATCCCTACCGAGCGTCCGCCCGACGTCTTGTCCGTTCTGTTCTCCTCCTCTCGGCCAATCACCGTGCCCGGTGCCTCGGCGGCCCTCCCACCACTTGCCGCAATGATCCTCATGGGGCCCGGTTCTGCCGTCGCTCTTTTGCGGCGACCGCTTCTCTCCTTTCTGCCTTCTCCTCCTCTTCTCTTTCTTCTCTTCGCCTTCTCTCTCAGTGCCTCTTCTTCACTGCTGCCATCCCTCACGCCTCGCGCATCTTCCCCGCACGCAGCCCCGTCTCCCTGGGATATTATACCCGCATCTAGATCTCGACTCCACTTTCGACTGAGCTTGCGGCTCCACGCTTCCCTCGTCTCGTGTCTTGGTCGCCTCGGGTCCGCGCAACTGGTGTGAAGCGCGATTGAACACGCGTCGTGTGAGTAAATCCTCGATCTACACTTTCATCCAGGCCTCGCATGTTCGTTGGCGACTGCCCAGGCTTGCAGATGCACCATCGGATCGCCTTTTATGGATCCCAAGGATCTCTCCGCGCGCAGGCATCTCGCATCGAACCCACGTCTTGAAGCACAATGAGTCTTCCACGTGCTTTGGGTTCTTTTTGCACTGCGCATTGCTCTTTATCTTCTGGATTCTTTGTCCTTTGTCTCTGTCATACTTATAACTAACTATTGTTTGCGCTTTCTAGTCACATCCATGCTTTCCACCACCCCGAGCAGTCTATGATCGATCGTATTATAACTAATATTCCTTGAAGGACCATGGTATGTCGCGAACAAATTACAATGCGCTGGATGCGAGACGCAATGGATGGCAGGAAGAAAATTGCAATGAGACTGACTTGGCTGTTCAGGTATTGTTCAAGCGGAAACCGGTCCAGTACCTTCCTCGACCGGTCATTGAAGATGACAGCTCCGAGGCATGCATACCCCTCAACTTTTGATCGACGTACCTGCTGACATGAGATTGCAGGTCTGGGTTATCCCGGAAACCAACGAAGTTTTCGTCAACTATGAACCGTATCTGCAAAGAATGGATTTCTACAAGCAGCGGAGGTTCATTTGCGAGATAACAGGCCACTCGGGCCTAACGTTTTTCGAGGCTCTTCGAAGCGAAGTATGCGAGAGATTATTCGCGTATTCTTGTTCCCAGACGCTAACGTCCTGTTAGATGGAGGAATCGCGCGAAGTTAACAGCGCATTCCCCGATGCCCTCAAAGAACCCATTCTGCGCCGACTTCAGTTCTCCACAGTATCGCGGGTCGATAACCTTGGTATGTACATAGATGGTCGATACCATGGACATCTTGAGTGGAAGCTAACATGCGCATTTTAGTGGATGAAGTTTACGAGGTAATTACGTGGTTTGGAATATATTTGCCGGTTTGCATGTCGCTGACTAGTAGTAGGAGTTCAAGCAGGATTTTTACCCAGGAGAACCCGTCCTGATTTTACTGGATGATAATACTCGCCTTCACGGCACAATCCGAGACAAAGTCAATTTTCCGGACCAGCTCAACCCCGATGGAACACTTAAAAGGCCGGCCTATTCCACGTATCTCGTCAAAGTTACGGATCGTCCCAATGAAGAGGCGCTACTGGACCAGGAGCACATCACTCGCGACCGGAAGACATTCACCAAGCAAATGCTGCGTGCGTTCATTAAAAACAACGTTACTCGAGAATCGTGGAATGGTGCGCCGTGGCTGGTGAAACCTTCTATTGCGGAGGAGTTTAGGATACCGACTGAAGTACCAAAGCACCTGCAGTACGGGGCAAAGGTTGCAGAGAAGAAGGCGATGAAAAAAGCGGACCAGGAAGGCTTCTTTGGCTTTTTCGCATCCCAGCAATTACCCGAGTTGAAGCCCGCGGTGAAGGGCCAGAAAGGCAAGCCTTCCCAACAGGATATGGCCCGGAACAAAGAAGCGCAGTTCCTCGAATACCAACGCTCACTCAACGGCAACCCGACTTTTGTTGTCGCCAATAAGCCCACAAACGGAGCAGCCCGATCCACCAAGACCCAGGAGACGGAAAAGAAGCCACAGCCTGCCCCTGCGGTTGTCGTCAAAGCCGAGCCTCCCAAGGAGCCATCTCCTCCCCCGATCAAGTACCCTATTGAGGACCTCGATATTGCTCCAGACCGCGAAAAGAAGAAGCAACGCCCAGAATTGAAGTTCTTAACCGTGGACGAGACCGATGATCCCGAGGATGCTGATCTCCTGCATGATGATATTGACTTGGAATCAGTCGGGCGTCTTCTGGAAACGTGGAACACTCTTAACGTCTATTGCGAAGTGTTCCAGCTCGATTCCTTCACATTCGATGATTTCGTCCAGGCTATGCGGTTTTCATCTGAGGACGTGGACTGCGAGCTATTCGTGGAGATGCACTGCGCCGTCCTGAAGAAGTTGGTCAATTCGGAGAAGGATGACAATGGCGCTGTCCAGATATCTCTACCGGAACTTCCAGACGAAGAAGAGGACGAATCTGAAGAGGAAGACGAGGAAGAGGAGGACGAACCGACACCCGAACCTGAGCCAGTGGTCACGAGAATGACCACTCGGAGTAGCCTGGCGAAGGCTGAAGCAGAGAATCTCAAAGCGCAGGCCGATCGGGAGCGGTCGAGCTCCGTGGAGGTCAAGATTCATCGCGCTGCGGAGATGTTTGGGGAGTACGGCTGGATCGATCGCCTGCGGAAGCGTGATTTCCGAAACGGGGGTTGGGAAATGGTGATGATCGGACTCCTGCACCAGTTGTCCGCCCGTCCACGGATGGAGAAGGTGTGCAATGAGATTCTGAAGCACCTAGCTCCATTGGACGCGGAACCCACCCAGGAGACTGCGCAAGCTCAGTACTCTACACTGGATGTGAACCTGCGCGTCCAGGCTCTCCAGATCATCTGCATGCTCAGCCTAGAGACTAAAGCCATCCGCAACTATTTGGAGGAGTGCAGTAACCAGATGACCGAGTTCCGCAAGGAGAAGATCGAGTACCAGAAGGCGCGCAAGGCAGCGTATGTATACCTTGTTGAACTGATTCCGTTCACAGAAAAGCTTTTGCGATAGACTGGCTAACTTTATCACGATCACAGTCTTGAAGAACTCCGCCGGTTACATCAGGAGCGCAAAGCTCTGCAGCCCGAACCGGAAAAGTCACCCAGCCCAGCACCTGAATTGGAAGCCCTGGAAGACTCCAAAATGACCGGTGTGGATGGTGATTCGGAAGCTGTGGATTCGGATGAGGAAGAAGTTCCTCAGCGGACGCTTCGTGGAGGCATAGACCGGGCGCTTGAACGCAAGCGCAAGCAGGAGGAAGAACGCGAGAGAAAAGAACAACTCGCCAAGCAACCCAAGGGCTCCAAGCAGTTCCAACGAGTGCTCAAGAAAATCGAGGACCAAAAGGCCAACATCCAGAAGCTTGAAGATAAGATCAATGTCGTCGATAATGATCTAAGGGAAGCCGACTGCCCACGGACCAGGTGTCTTGGAAAGGATCGGTTTTGCAACCGCTACTGGTGGTTCGAGCGCAACGCCATGCCATACGGTGGAATGCCCAACAGCTCAACGGCAGAAGCGCAGTACGCCAACGGTCGCCTATGGGTTCAAGGACCCGATGAGATGGAGCGTGTGGGATTCATCGACGTCTCAGATGATCTGAGGAAACAATACCAGAAGGACTTCCAGACGACTCCGGCGGAGCGCAAGAAGACCGAGGAAGGACATACCAGACTCACCAATGCCACCGAATGGGGCTACTACGAGGACCCAGAGGCGATCGACGC